AATAAAGCATATTCCTTAGGAGATAAGGATTACAACAATAAAGGGGATGATTATCCTAATCCTATAATGATTAGGATAACTACAACATATGGATAAACACAAGGGAGGATAGTGACTGATGCTTGGCCGCCTGGTATGGTACTGATGTGGTCTGGTCCATTTCCGGATATGTCCCAACCACCATCTTCATTTCTTAACAAAATTAATTTAATAAAGAACAAAAAGAAAATTACCATGTACCATTCTCAATTTTCATTAACAAAATTTAATCTACAAACAAAAATTCCTTTTTAATATTTTCTTTGAATACCACAACTTTTTTTCTTTAATTTTTAAAAATATAATAAATAAAAGTTAAGAAAAACCTTATAAAAGAATCTTTATCTTATATTTCCTAAGGTAAATTTTTTAAGACGGTGCTGTGCTCATGGGTTTGTGTTCCAGCAAGGTTCTATTCTCGACTCACTTCAGAAGCTTTCTCTGAATCAAATTCTACCAATCAGAGATAAAATTCTCGTTGGTTGGCAATAATTGATGGTTTGAAGAGCAAACAAGCAGCTTTCAAACGAGTCGGTGATGATGGCTGTTGGTTGTTTCGGCAGGGATCCGGCGCCGCTTCTGACATCTCTAATGGAGTTGCGGATCCAAACACAAGAACGTGTCATTCACGCAAAGATCCTTATTACTTGTTTTTGGATTCCGTTTGGGTTTTATCTATTTGTATATTTAGTTTGAATCTGCTTGTAATGTGATTCATTGGATATGGTTAATGAAACCAAACGATGGCAAAAAAAAATGCTACTCAAGTGTGTCTTTTCTTCTTTTCTTTAGAAACTTTTGTATCGTTTAAGGTTCAAAAATTTTGTTTATCAGAAAACTAACTCGCACTACCCAGATTACCAACCAAACAAATACATTTGGAAGGCAAGAAGTCTATCTGGGCATTGGTTAATGTGGTTGTTCGAGTCAATTTATTTGGTTCTCGGGTTTTTAAATTTGAAAAATCCCACCAAAGTTAACAAAACTATATTTTGGTATGGTTCAGTTTGGTTAAGAGGATCGATTCCAAATTGAACCAAAATCAGTTTAATAATCGGTTTATTTGGTAGAAACCAAAAATCAGGTATATAAACTTGGTTTCCTTGGCCTATTTTGGTTTCTTTTTTTATACGGTTAATCTGATTGCTATGTACCAAACCGTTAGTTTCTTGCTTGCCAAACAAAACCGAACCGAAAATCAGAATAATTTATAAAATTCGTCGATCATTTAATGACTTCAACAAGATTTTAAACCGAAAACCAAAATCTTTGGTTTGACCGGTTTGGTTTCCTGCCAAATGCCCACCACTACCAACAAACCTTCAAATATAAATTTTCAACATAAATAAAATGACAATGGCTTTCACGGAAAACATAAAGTTTATGCAAATCCATAAATCGCTACAAAAGAAATAAAGCAGCCTTGAAAAAACCAAAGTAGGGAAGAAAAAAAAGAATAAATAGGATCAAGTACTTCGAATTAACCTTTCTTGAAACTCAAGTAAAGATATCTCCTTCTCCAGTCTCATCGCCTCTCTAAACTTATATATGAAATTGTCGGCTTTTTCATCAACCCTAAGGTGCGGCGATGCAGCCACCACTCTCCTCCAAGCATCTTCCACCGAATCAACAATCTCATGCGGCTCCTTCTCTTCTTCTTTTTCCTTTTTTCTCCCCAAAACTTTTTCCTCACTCTTGAGTTCCCCACGCCTCCATCGTTGGCTTTCGTATTGGTAGATTTGCCGGTAAATGCTCTCACTATGCCTTCTACGACACTTTCTTTTGCCAAAAGGATGAGAGAATAATCCGAGGAAGTGGCTACGATTGTGACTATATCCGTTGTTGAAATGGATTCGAGGGTTAGTGTTTTGAAGATACCTTGTCCTGAAAGGAACGATGAGGCGGTGACTGATGACACGGAGGAGACGAGAAGTCGATTCTCTGATCGATGTAGCAAACTTGATGTCTCTGAATTTGGATCTGAGCTTATGTGTGAATCTCTCCCATGCCCGCTTCACGACAATCTTTTTCCTGCTAACACACAAAAGAGCCATTAATTAAAAAAAAAAAAAAAAAATTCTCTTCTTCACTTTCTTTTCTTGCTAAGAAAGATGTGTTGGAATAAATCGCGAATGGCTACTGAGGAAATGTTATCTTTTATATAGAAGAACATCTTAAAGCTTGGTTAATATATTTGAATAATACTAAGATGTGAACTTATGGGAACTGGATATGTAACCGTCACTACATTTCTGTGAGAAACTAAAATTCTTGACATTGCTTTGGAATAAAGAAGGGAATAGAAAGTGGGGTTGTCTTAGTTTCCTTGGAATGGCCAAGCTGGGATTCTGACCAAAAAGTATAACTTTCGGCATGTTATCTGTAGCTCAAACAACTTGGAGCATTTTTTTCGTAAAAGTTTGAGAAAAAATAAATAACTTTCTTTTCTAGAAAGCAATTAACTTCTATCCCTGCGCACCAAAACAAAAACTATACTATTTAATTCAAATAGTTCAAGTGTATATGTTGCTACGTACGACTTATAAACTACTACAGAACTCTATGATGCTACATTGAATTGGTTTAATCTCTGACTGTTAAACAAGTACTTCTTTCTAAGAACGTTACATAACAATGTAACACTAACAACCCTTGATTAAAATGCCTATTTTAAGATAAATTTTAAATCATATTTTTTTTTTGTAAAATAATTAAATTAAAATGCAGAGAAACGTGGTAAGAGAGAAGGGAAGAGCGCCAAAGTCTGAGGCTAATTGTATGGTAGCTTCAAACATTCCTAAAATGGCGATCTTCCCCAAAAGAACATCATCTTTCCATTAAACTATTCTCACATTTCCTCATATCAATATTTCAGACTCAAATCGTTCAAATATATTCTGATACAAGTTTTTAATAGTGTAGAGAGAATTGAATGAGAGTTGAAGACAGATGCATCTATGAAGACAGGTGAATTACAACACTTGATGCTTCTTGAGTTTATCCGACGTTCTTCTTTCGGGTTTCTCAGATGGAATGGCAGATCCTGCTAGTTATGTCTATCATGAGCGTGACATCGACCAGGTTAGTTTCTCTCTTTCTCTCTTTTTTCCCTACTACGTTCAAACATTATTGTTACATTAGAGACATCGTTCATACATTTGCCATCTTTGGGTAGGAGGAAGATAACTTTCCTGATTTGGAAAAGGGAGCTATTTGAGTTTTTGTTACTTGTTTATTTATTTCTCTGTAATAAAGGATCCATGTTGTTAATTTCTAAATCAGCCACAGTTCTTAACACTGTTATTATGCTACAGATTATGAGAATTATTTCACTCTCTCTCTCTATATAATTTTCACTTCCTCATTAACATTGTTGTAGGCACTTATCGTTTTGAAAAAGGGAACTCAGTTAGTCAAGTACAGTCGAAAAGGGAAGCCTAAATTCCGTGCATTCAGGCTGTCACCGGTATTCTACTTCAAACAAAATTAAATTCATGCAATGTTTTCGTTTTTTAATGCGTTATACTAACTATATTAGTGTTGATGATAGGATGAAAAAACACTGATTTGGTTTTCGCATGGAGAAGAAAAAGGTTTGAAGTTAGCTGAAGTTTCTAGAATCGTCCCTGGACAAAGAACTGTGAGTTTAACCTAGTTATTTCATCTTTCAAAATATAAAAAAGGCAACCTCTTGTGTCGGTTCTAACAACTTTTTATGAACAGCCTGTTTTTAAGAGATTTTTACGTCCAGAGAAAGACCACTTATCATTTTCACTTTTATTCAATAACAGAGAAAGGTCACTTGATTTGGTTAGTAAAGTAACCACTTTAGCTTGCTTCAACTTGGATTGTAATATTTAAATTCACATATGTATTTCCTTTTTCTTTTTTTGGCAGATTTGTAAAGACAAAGCTGAGACAGAGGTTTGGTTTGCTGGCCTCAAGTATTTAATTGAAAGAAGTCGTAATAGACGCGCAAGAAGTGAGATACCAGAGGTATATATATTTTATGTTCTTTAATTTTTGTACCCTTGTATATGGTCCAACGTTTCTAGATGCCCTGTTCTAATTGTACACAGTGCATATATTTTTTGTTACCTAACATAGAAAAAAGCCTTTTAAAATGTTTTCACTCAAGGTTTGACCAAATATATGGACCGGTCTTGTACCTCTACAACTAAAGTTTAATCCATTTGAGTTGATTGTATTATCTCTCAGATAAACGACAGTGACTACTTCTCCACTGGTCGTCAATCAATAGACGTTGTCCCAAACAGTATACCACGAGGTAGAACATCAGTTGATCTAGGCTATCACAACAATTCTCCAATCAGTTTTGGTGGGTCAGATGTTGGATATGAACGTGGAAACATGTTAAGACCAAGTACTGATGGTTTTCGGATCAGTGTCTCAAGCACACCAAGTTGTTCAAGCGGAGGTTCTGGTCCAGATGATATTGAATCATTAGGTGATGTGTACGTTTGGGGTGAAGTTTGGAGCGATGGGATACTTCCAGATGGGACAGTTAGCAAAGAGACAGTGAAAACAGATGTCTTGACTCCAAGACCCTTGGAATCAAACGTTGTTCTTGATGTTCACCAGATTGTTTGTGGTGTAAGGCACGTTGCGCTTGTGACAAGACAAGGAGAAGTGTTTACTTGGGGAGAAGAAGCTGGAGGTAGGCTTGGACATGGTATTCAAGTCGACATTAGCCGTCCCAAACTCGTTGAGTTTCTTGCTCTAACCAACATAGACTTTGTTGCTTGTGGAGAGTATCACACTTGTGTTGTATCTACCTCTGGAGACTTGTTTTCATGGGGAGATGGAATCCACAATGTTGGGCTTTTAGGACATGGCAGTGATATTAGTCATTGGATACCAAAAAGAGTGTCCGGTCCTTTAGAAGGGCTTCAGGTACTTTCTGTTGCATGTGGCACTTGGCATTCAGCTTTGGCCACTGCAAATGGGAAGCTATTCACGTTTGGTGATGGTGCGTTTGGCGTTTTAGGACATGGAGACAGAGAAAGTGTTACGTGTCCTAAGGAAGTACAGTCTTTAAACGGTTTGAAAACAGTGAAAGTTGCTTGTAACATTTGGCATACCGTGGCTATCGTCGAGGTCATGGGACAGACCGGTACAAGTATGTCATCTAGGAAGTTGTTTACTTGGGGTGATGGTGACAAAAACAGGTTAGGGCATGGGAACAAAGAGACTTACTTGCTACCCACGTGTGTCTCTTCACTTATTGACTACAACTTTCATCAGATCGCTTGTGGACATACATTTACCGTCGCACTCACAACCTCAGGACATGTTTTCACAATGGGTGGGACTTCACATGGCCAGCTCGGTAACTCCATCTCTGATGGTAAACTACCTTGCTTGGTACAAGATCGATTAGTTGGAGAATTTGTGGAAGAAATAGCTTGTGGGGATCACCATGTTGCGGTTTTGACATCAAGGAGTGAAGTCTTCACATGGGGGAAAGGTGCTAATGGAAGATTAGGACATGGTGACACAGATGATAGAAGAACACCAACTTTAGTTGAATCCTTGAGAGACCGCCATGTGAAGAGCTTATCTTGCGGCTCAAACTTCACATCAAGTATATGTATTCATAAATGGGTATCCGGAGCAGATCAGTCAATCTGCTCCGGATGTCGCCAAGCTTTCGGGTTTACCCGTAAGAGACATAACTGTTATAACTGTGGTTTAGTCCACTGTCATGCTTGTAGTTCAAAGAAAGCTTTGAAAGCAGCATTGGCTCCAACACCAGGGAAGCCACACCGTGTATGTGATGCGTGTTACAGCAAACTTAAAGCCGCTGAGTCTGGCTATATATCTAATGGAAACAGGACTAATGTTGCAACCCCTGGACGATCAATGGATGGTTCAGTAAGAATAGATAAAGGAACAACAAGGTCATCTAAAGTTCTCTTGTCTGGAAATACAGAATCAGGCAAGACATCAAGGCTTGGAGTTAGACCTGATGCTTCTAGTGTCCGTGCCTCGCAAGTTCCTTCTCTCCAACAGCTTAAAGACATTGCATTCCCGACATCATCGCTAACCGCGATTCAGAATGCTTTAAAACCTGTTGCTCCTGCTTCTGTTCCAACTCGTTTACTAGTTGGACCAATGGCATCTCCTCCACCTGCAAGATCCTCATCACCTTTACCTACAAGATCCTCGTCTCCTTACGCAAGAAGATCGAGCCCTCCACGGACTTCTGGATTTTCTAGGAGTGTTATTGATAGTTTAAAGAAGACTAACGAAGCAATGAACCAAGAAATGACAAAACTACAGAGTCAGGTATTTGTTTTGTCCAATGTTTTTAGTTACAAAATACTATAATGAAGTTAACTCATTATGCTCTCAACTTTTAGGTTAAGAATTTAAAACATAAATGTAATAATCAAGGAACAGAGATCCAAAGATTCCAAAAAGCAGCTAAAGAAGCTTTTGAATTAGCTGCTAAGCAATCTTCTAAACATAAATCAGCAACAGAAGCCCTAAAATCTGTTGCAGAACAGGTTTGGTCTTATATTTTTTTATACTCAGAAACTTTTTGCCAACATATCATGTAACTTTTTTTCTGTTTTTAGCTGAAAGGGTTGAAGGAGCAATTACCACTTGAAGTATCAGAGAGTGAAGCTTTTGAGTCCATTAACTCTCAAGCTGAAGCTTATCTAAGTGCAAACCAAGTAACAGAAACATCTTTACCTACAAATTTGATACTTGATCAACAAGAAACATCTCCTACTGGAAACACACAAGATCAAAAGATTGATGAACAAGTATCATCGAACTCAAGTATACCCGAGACATCAAATTCATCAAAGCCAGTACCAACAGAATCTTCTTCATCATCATCGAGAACAGGTGGAAAGGAAAGTAAAGAACAGTTTGAACCTGGCGTTTACGTGACTTTTGCGGTAGATATGAATGGAAACAAGATCTTCCGACGAGTTAGATTCAGGTGACATACATTAATTCAATTATTTTTATGTATGGAATTTATAAACCATGTCTGAAAACTTTTTGGTTTGTAGCAAAA